AATAGTAAAATATTCAAAAAGATCGAAACAGAGGGAGAACTCCCAAACTCCTTCTATTAAGCCAGCATCACTCTAATACTAAACCAAAGTAAAGAAACCACCAGAAAAGAAAACTACAGACCTATATCTTTAATGAACACAGAGGAAAAAATTCTCAACAAAATACATACAAACTGCATATAGCCACACATTAAGAAGATCATCCAACATGATCAAGTTGTTTTGGTTACAGAGATGCAGGAATGCTTCAATACTTATGTTAATAAATGTCATAAATTGTATAAGTGAATTTAAGGACAAAAATCACATGATTATCTCAATAGATGCAGACAAGGTCTGTGACAAAATTCAACATACATTTATCTTAATCGTTCTGGACTTGTGGGAACATACCTCAACATATTCAAAGCTACATACAACAAACCTGTGGTCAACATCATTCTAAATGTTGAAAACCTGGAAACATCCCCATTAAAATCAGAAACTAGGCAAGGCTGTCCATTACCTCCATCCCTTTTTAATATAGTACTTAAAACTCTTGTTAACATGAGAGGACAAGAGAAGTAAACTAAAGGAGTACTAATTGGAAAAGAAGAGGTCAAATTATCACTATTTGCAGATGATGTGATAGAATATATAAGACATCTGAGAAATTCCACCAAAAAACTCTTAGATGTGATTAACACTTTCAGAAAGGTGCCAAGTTACATAATCTAAAAAAATCAGTAGCCTTTCTGTATACAAATGAGCAATTGGAGAGAGAGTACATGGAAACCCTTCCATTCACCATATCTCAAAATTATGTAGGAAAAAAAACTCACCAAAGCATTAAAGATTTCTATAAAGAAAACATTAAATCTTTGAAGAAAGAGATTAAGGAAGACATCAGGAGATGGAAGGACCTCCCATGCTCATGAATTAGATGAAATAATATTGTGAAAATGATAATCCTACCAAAACAATATATTGATCCAATGTAATCCCAATCAGAATCACCATGACATTCTTCACAGAATTAGAAAAAAAATCCTAAAACTCATATGGAATCACAAAAGACCCCATATACCTAAAGCAATCCTGAGCACAAAGAGCAATGCTGAGGGTGTTATCATACCAGATCTCAAACTATATTAAAGAGTTATAGTCATATTAGCAGCATGGTACTGGCACAAAAACAGACACAGAGATCAATGGAACATCACTGAACTACCAAATATGAGTACATACAATTTCAGCCACCTGATATTTGACAGAAGTGACAAAAACACACACTGAAGGAAAGACAAGTTCAGTAAATGGTGCTGGCAAAACTGGATCTCTACCTGTAGAAGAATGAAACTAGACCCTTCCTTATCTTTCACATTGCACAGTACTCAACTCCAAAAGGACCAAAGACTTCAATGCTAAATCTGAAACTCTGAAACTGTAAGAAAATATAGGCAATATCTTACAAGATGTAGGTATAGGAAAGAACTTTCTAAGTCCAACATTAGTTGATCAGGAATTAAGATCAACAATTAATAAGTGGAACCTCCTTAAACTAAAATGCTTCTGTACAGGAAAGGAAACAACCAAGGAAGTGAAGAGGAAATACACTGAGTGGGAGAAAATCTTCCCCAGCAACACATCTGAAAGAAGTTTAGTATCCACAATATGTAAAGAAATAAAAAAAAATTATAAAGACTCAAGAAAAGAAATTATCATATTAAAAGATGGTCTATGGATATGAATGGAGGCTTCTCAAAAGAAGGAATAAAGATGGCTAAAACACATGTTAAAAAGTGTTCAACATCCTTAATAATTGATGAAGTGCAAACTAAAATCACTTTAAGGTTTCAGCTTACCTCAGTCAGACTGGCAAAGATCACGAGAGCAAATAATACCAAATGCTGGAGAGGATATGGGTAAAGGGAACTACTCATTCACTGCTGGTAGGATTGCAAACTCATGCAATCCCTATGGAAAGCAGTGTGGAGAACTCTTAAATAATACAAATGAATATACCATAGGATCCAGTTATACCACACCTTGGTATATTCCCAAAGAACTCATTCTACTGCAGAGAGACTTGTATATCCACATATGTCACTGCATTTTTCATAAAAGCTAAGAAGTGGAAGTACCTTTTATCCCTCAACTGACAAGTGGATAATGAAAATGTGGTACATTTATGCAATGGAGTTCTACTCAGCAGCAAAGAAAGATGAAATTAAGAAATTTGCAGGTAAATGGATGGAACTGGAAAGAGTTATACTAAGTGAAATAGCACGGTCTCAGAAAAATGGTGTATGTTTCCCTCATTTGTGAATCCTAGGACCAATTCCTTATACGTGAGAATATACCCTGATGAAGCTGGAGGAACCAGGGAACTCAAAAGGAATCTGGGAGGAAAAGATAGAAGGATCCTGAAAGGGAATAACAGTTGGAGAGAGTGGTGCTAAGGGGGAAGTGAGTAATATTGGAGTATTTAAATGGGAGAGGAATAGGGAGGGTTATATAAGAAACTATGGCAGTAAAAGGGGAGAAGGAACTCTAGAGAGAGGGAACCATACGAGGCAGGTATTACCAAGGATGAAATCGGGAAAATGGGAGTGCCTTAACTGTGGAGGGATGAGGGAAGGTTAAACAGAGAGAAAGAGAGAGGAGAGATAAGTAAGGCTTAGCAGGTACGAAAATCCATAGGGAAACATATTAGTTCAAAAACCTAGGGAAAAATTACATGCACAATAGCTCTATGTGAGTCTGTGTGTATAGCTCAAGGCTATATAACAACAACAACAACAACAAAATACTGCCAGACAGGAGAAACCTTTCAGTTGTTGGCTAGAGTATTCCAAGAGCCTCCCACAATTACATAGGTTATTGCCACATCCCTTGACTGCCTCCCAGAAATTGAAGGAATGTCCCTTCTGCTAAAGACAGGATATATTCAGACACAGGATTTGGTGAAATGGAGCTGGAACAGAAACGGAAGCCACCTCCCTGAAGACTGGCTCTCATAGTTTTGGAGAACACTATGAAGTCTAAGAGAGAATATCAATTGATGGTCCCACCCCAGCTTTAAGGTATAATTATCACAATAATGACCTGACAGCAAGTCACATTGAGGCAGTCATGGCACTTTTATCTTATGGATAATCATCATCTACCTAATTGGATTTAAAGCCAACTCAGTGAGAGGGAATTCATTTGTGGAACTGTAAACACAGATAAATACACATGGTTGGAGAGGTCATAGATCTCAGACAAAATCCCAAGTATGTCACATCCCCAGACAAATGTTATGTCTTACTATGCGATAAATATAGTTATATTTACAGACAACTATGCAGCTTCCTTGCAACAGATGGTGAGTATTACAGAGTGTCCCCACTGGTCACACACAGAGATTTTCTGTGAAATGTCCAATCCTAAGTGACACATCTGTGATGGAAGCTCTATAACTAAGGCTCATGGAACACAGTACAACAAGGGGTAGAGAGAATACTAATGCATCTCTCAACTTTCATCAGTGAAGCCCCCTCATGCAACAGAGATCCATGGAAACCAAAGGATGCAGATGGCCAAAGCATAGAAAATAAGAGTCTTCAGAGTGTGGGTCTTCGGTCAGGTCTCTTTTACTAAACCTTACCCACCCAAGTCTCAGGGACAATTGCAGAAGAGTGGGGAGAAAGAATGTAAGAACCACAGAAAAAGGTGCATGACCATATCGAAATAGAGTCTTGCAGGCTCCTGGGACCTTGCTCATGTGAACTTGCAGCATTGGCATCAACATACACAAGGCCCGTGCAAACCAAAGCAAACAAAAAACCCAGCGTATAACTGTAGCATATAAATAGGAAGCCAGTGCCAATCTTAGCTGAGGAACTATTGGCAACTGATTACTGCTGGGTGAAAACAACTGATGTTCTTAGTGGGAGGGATTCTAGATACATTGACTAGATCTCAGATGAACTTAAAGTGAAAGACATTTGAGGACACTAACTTGACTCAATAGGCCTTAACATCAATGACAGAATGCATTAAATCCAGTGCTGGGCTTTGGGAGTTTGCCAGTAAGAAAGGGGTTATACATATGATTAAGATATTCTGTTTGAAATATACATAAATTCAATAAAAAGTATTAAAATGAATAAATATTGACAAGAACTTTCATATGGCTTCATTTAAATTCCCTTTTAGTAATTTGCTCAATTTTCATTTTTATTTGTCTATAAATCAAGAGGTGATATTTTTCTTCTAAAAATAACTACTAAGCTTTAGTTTAAAATTGTATTCATTTTCATTTTATGTGTAAGAATGTTTTGCCTGTATGTAAAGTGCACCACATCTGTGCAATGCCCGCACAGGCCAGAAGAGGGTGGTAGATCTCCTGTGACTGGAGTTACCACCATATGGGAGCTGGGAACTGAACCAGGGTCCTCTGCAAGAGGTTTTAGCCACTGAACCATCTCTCCAGCCCTTGGACGTTACTTTAAATTTAAAAAAATGTATATTTTATTTATTATTTTATGTGTATAAGTGGATTGTCTGCATGAATGAATGTACATCCATGGAGGGAAATGCCCATGGAGGTCAGAAAAGGGCATCAGATCCCCAGAACTGTAGTTTCAAATAGTTATTAGTCACCATGTGGGGGCTTGGAATCGATAACGGGTTCTCTGTAAGAGCAGCCAGCTCTTGGTCATTACTTTAAAATATTTATCATAAAGTAGTCTCTTCTCTTGTACGATAAACGTGTGCATTTCTCTTCATCTTTTTATGGATGGTTTCTAATGCTTCTTTTGTTTGATGATCACTTCATGGCCAACTATTTCCTGTAAAGACATTCTAAATTTCATGATATTATAATTAAAAAGTGAGAGAGTTGCTGCAAGAATAAGTCAATAGTAATCCTGTAATTATTCTGTATTCAAATTGGGTTGAAATAAGACAAAACTAACTTACCAATGATGTTCATCTGGGCTTGCATGTGGCATTGTTTTGAGGTCACTACAAAATCAGAACTGGTCCTGTAGTCCTGGAGACACACGCTGTTTCCTTTCTTTTCTTTCCTTTTCCTTTCTTCCTTCCATTTTATCCGCATCCTCTTTCCCATTCTCCTTTTGTTCCTTTTTTTGCTTCTTCTTTATGCCTTTGTTACTTTCTTTCTAAAGCCATCTCTAATTTGCATTTACTTCAAAGTAGACTTTCTGAAAGTTGTTTCATTTCTTTTCTTGACTATTACAGTTCTTTATTCAAATGTATGATATACTTTCACATCTTTCAAATCTAGGCACAGCATCAAGGCTTCTTGGAGGTTTGTAAAAAGGCCTTATTGCATATCTATTTTAATTTTTAGTTTCAATAGAATTACCTTCTATGTCTTTGTTTGCATATTCCTTGAATCTTTCTAGTGATCTTCCTTGTAAAACATCTTAGCTACAAATTTAACATAGGCATCTTCACATTGTTCAATGAATACTCCCATATATTTTTCTTAAAAGCTTTCTTATACCTCCTGAGTATTGGGGGGGGGGGGGAGTTTTTGTGTCCCCTGGTGGTGTGGGGGGGGGGGGTGTCACCTTGTATTCTCCGTCTCACATTTAAATACTCATGTAATTAGTTTGGTGAATCCTTTTTTTTTTTTAATTTCCTAGATTCCTTTGAAGATGACTAAAATGCTGTCCACCTAATATGCTGCTCAGTTCCCCCTGTTTCCATCAATGACCTAGCACCCACTTAGCCTTCTTTTCTTTCTTCCCCTTCTTCCCATCCTTCTTTACATCAGCAGAATCACCTGGAGTGTCCTTCTGGTCCTTCTTGTCTTTCTTCTTGTCTTTCTTCTTGTCTTTCTTCTTGTCTTTCTTCCTGATATCCTTCAAATCACCCTCTGTTTTGCTTTCATCCTTATCCTTTTCTTTCTTGCTTTCCTTCTTCTTTGATTCTTTCTTGGCTTTCTTTGAATCTCCCTTTCCAATTTCTGAATCTTGAGGTGTGTCTTTGCCCTTTGCACCTTTTTGATCTTTTCTGTCGTCTCTCTTTTCACCAGCCTTTTCACCTTCTGAATCTCCAAGTGTATCTTGTGACTCCTTTGATCCCTTTTTACTCTTTTTGGCTTTCTTTTCATCCTCCTTCTCTCCTTCGGATTCCGTAGTTGATCCCTTCTTCTCCTTTGACCCCTTTTTACCCTTTTTGGCTTTCTTTTCATCCTCCTTCTCTCCTTCGGATTCCGTAGTTGATCCCTTCTTCTCCTTTGATCCCTTTTTACCCTTTTTGACCTCTTTATTCCCTGCAGCCTTTTCACCTTCAGATTCTGTAGCTGCTTCCAAGTCCTCCTCTTCCTTTGAACCTTTTATGGTCACATGTTTGGGACTTTCCTTTAGCACCGCCTTATCGTTTGATTCTGCTTCTGAGCCTGATTGAACTTTTTCTTCTTTCTTGGTGGGTTTTGGAGATAAAGACTTAGGTTTGGGTGCATCTTTAGAATCCCCATTTTGGGAAAGAGCTGATTTCAATGGAAGGCTTTTCCTGGCAGCTAAATAAACTGATGGTGGCTCACGAATTCTCATCAGGGAACGGTGCATCCATAATGGTGGTCTACGACCTTCCAAATTTTGTTCATCAATTACCTCAATATTGGTTAGAAAAATAATGAAAAATTTGTGAGTTATATAGCTATTAATAAAAGTACCATATATATGTATTAAGTTCAACTATTAAAAATCTCAAAATTTGAACTAAGTTGGAAAAATTACGGATTTTAGAGTAAACGAGAAATTTCGTCTTCATTTGGGTCTACTTTCGTTTTATAGGCACCTCATTCTGGCCTCAATATTTTGTGTTGAAATTGGTAGAGCTCTCTATTGATTCATGATGTATATTTTGCTATGAGAAAGGGCTGTATTTTAACCTTTAAGTCTATTATTGAAAAGTCTTGGAATATCTTACCCATTCCATTTTTAGATGAATTAAGAAGCTGTTCTTTGATATTCTGGTGTATCTTTAACTAGACTCTCACTTTTGGTGCTCTGGAATGCCACTTGTGGTTACAGGTAAAAGCTATAAATCTTTCTATAGGGTATAAATTATTATAAATGAAATATCAATAAAATCTGAAATATCGTACACATAAGAGACATTTTGCTTTTAACTTTCAGCCAAATAATTGCAAAAAAACTAAAAGATAAATTGATAATTTTTATTACTATTTTATTTTTATATTTTTTTCTATATGAGTGTATTGCCTGCATGCATGCAAGTGCACCTGTGTCATGAAATGCCAGTGCAGGTCAGAAGAAGGCATAGGATTCCCCTGGAACTGGAGTTACAGGATCCTCTGCAAGAGCAGTCAGTAGTTTTAACCACTAAACCAACTTTCAAGCCCCATCAATTGATAATTTTTAAAGGAAAGTGAAACAATAAAAAAATGTATTATGTATAAAAGAAAGATCTTTGGTTATAAGTCATGGGATTCTTTCCTAAAATAAGCAAAGGCTGATGATCCATTTATTTAAAGAAAATTTTTCTTTAAGTATTTCCAAAAACTTTTGGAAATAGTTATCTTTTGATTTTCAGAATTCTGAATCACATTTTGACGGAAGAAAAGAAGCCCTTAAAGTTAACTCATCAGGGTGTAGTTATGATGAAATAAATATTAGTATGAAATGCAAATATAATAGATCCTGGTTTTTTCTGAGCAGTAGAAATAGATTTATCCTTAAATGTGGCTTCCAAAATGGCATTTAGCATCCATAAATGGTCTTTATTTTATTCAGCTGAACTCATGATTAATTTAGAATTCAGTTCCTCAATTGTGTAGCCTTATTTTATCTGTTAAATAGCCACATTGGATGACAATGATATGAGATACAGCCATCATGAAAGGATTTGTGTCGATTAGCCATGATCCACACAGCTCATTTAATAGCTACACATAAATTTGCAACATTATTGTTAATAAGCAATTACTTACTACTAAGAAGTATATACTATTTTCTTATACTTACAGGACCTGTGTTGTTTCGTATCTGGGAAGGTAGTGATCTCCATTTCTTTCCTGGTCTTGGTGGTTTGGGAAATGCCAAGGAAAAGTGTTGCTGATTCCATGATTTTTTGCTTAATTGACTGACTAAAATAAAGAAGATAAACTATTCTTTGTTTAAAATATATTTTTTTCTTAACTGGAATGATTCTAAATGTGATTTATATTACACAAATGAATAAATAAATGAGCCAAATTGCAGTTTCATTTATTGGTAAAGTTTGAAATTCTTTGTGGTTGTTATGAGAATATACAACTTATGCTTTCTATTTTGACTCGTTTTATAAATAATTAAGCAATTTGATGTATAACTATGTAAAGCAGGCATTACAAAGCCAGTGTGGTCTGTAACATAAATGGAAATGATCAGTGTTACTGCCTCTGTGCAAGTGTCACTGTGTCTTCCAGTTCAGGTTCCCGCTATTTGATTAAATTTTTTTGAGAACAGAACAATAATGAGTTAAATACTTCTCTAGCAATCAAAAGTATTTAGCACAATATATGACATAAAATAATCAGTAATTACATGCTTAACTCTAAGTGCTAAGGCTTAAGAACCTATCAGTTAAAATAATATTAATAGAAATATAAAGAGAAAATGCTGTATACCCAGGGACCACACTGTTACAGATATGCTGTTGTATAGGACTGCCCTCTGAAAGATTCCATCTTCCTGAGCTCAGTTGTACTCACTTGCCTAAGATTAATACAGTTGGGCTTATTAACGCCCCATTTTCCAGAGAAGGGAGGGTAGGAAAAGACTCATGACCCTTGCCTGAGAGTCCAGCCACACCTTCCTAACCCACGATTAGCAATTTGTCCCTAATTGCATGTGGCCTGGGAAAGGGGATAGAGTAAATATGTCCCATAAGACTAGAGGAGGGTCTCTCTCAGCATTTTGTATGGCTATGGGGAAGACATTATGGTACATCTTTAGGTGGAGAGCACACTCATAAGTAAACTCTCACCCGTTGCTCTGTAAGTTAAGTACAATAAACTCACTGGTTTCCCAGAGTGCATTTTGGTTGAATGGTACCTTGGATTGCTATTGGGACCTAGGGAGGAGGGGGTGAACATTACTTACACTCCTACCCTGGAAAAATTTTACCAACATATGCTTCATAAGGAAAATTAGTAGAACATTGGGATTAAGAGACACCATCACTGCATTTATTATTTGTATAATTATACAAATAGAGAAAATAGTTCCTATAAGTCTCCAAAAGACACTAGAATGTGGTAAATGTGCAGAATGAGACATAGTTAAGTTCAATTTATGAGGGGGGAAATACAATTGATAAATTCATTCAAAATTAGATCTGTCATGTCTAATATTGACATAAGCTAGATATAAGCAATCGGGAATAAGGTAATTAATGTTGGGTTGGAAGGTATTTATCCAATTTCTACATTGCTTTTCAGATGTAAGAGCATTGGATTTTATGAATTCTAACATGGAAGTGCATCAATGCATTGTAAAAGCAATATAAAATTGCAATGTATGCAGAGATGGAAACTGTTCACTGTGTCCATAACAAAGGTTCCCGGCAAATAAACATGGGGTATCAATTATATTCCTTCGCAAATTTACTTTGAGCACTTTGAATTTAACAAAAACACTTATGTTTAAAATTGCCTATGAATATTTTAAAAAATATGTAACTGTTCTTACCTGGAATATAATTTTTGTATGTCCCAAAGTTTATGTTTTGGCTATTAAAATGAAAATGAAAAGTTTTGGTTATATTTTTTAACCAAGATCAATTTATGAAATGATAATTATTGTATGTAAGCACTTGCTTACAACTAGAAAAATATTCAATTATCCGTTTGATATAATTGTGTAAGCCAGTTTCTCATCTATAGGACAATGGAGATGAGTAAATGTAAAGTTCGAACTTTAACAGAACTAAGCTCTAGTAGACCAAGATACACATATGTATGCCTGAGATATACATGTGCACTGAAAAATCCATCATCACATCTGAATTATATATTTTTTAAAATTAAATTGAAAAAGCAAGATAAAATTATTTTTTTCCTACCCCATGCTACAAATTCTTTTGAAATTGACTTTGAGCTAAGGTATCAGTTTATAACGTATAACTGAAATAAAATTCTTTAAATCTCAAAATTTATCCATATCCTACTCTTCCAAAGATATATGTGTACATATGTATGTATGTGTGTGCTTGTGTTTGTATTGTCAGTGTGAACTGTGAGTATTTCTAGAGAAATAATTGACAAATTATGTGGTAATTACATTTCCATGATTAACTTTTCACTTGCTTCATTACTACAGGGACATATTAGTTTCCACAGAGGCACATTTCATAGACTAGCTTTTATTTATTTTAAACAGAGACCTATAGGAGGTTATGTTAGTGATATTCTATGCATAAGTACACTACATTTTTTAACCTATATTTTGAATGTGTATGTGATGTGCATGTGTGTATACATGTGTGTATATGTGATGACACATTCATGTGAAGGTGTGTGTGTGTGTGTGTGTGTGTGTGTGTGTGTCCATTTGTGTAGCTCAGTGGTTGATATTGATATCATCCTAAATAGCCCTCTACATTGTACACTGAGGTTGGGTCTCTCACTTGAACTCAGTGCTTATCAGTTCAGCTTATATCCTGAGCCTCCCTATTTTGGTGATCCTGTTTTAGACTCCCATGCACTAGTACGATGGGTGAGCCACAACGCCTTCACAGCTTCTACCTGGGTGGTAGGATCCCAGTTCTGCCCCACATGTAGCAAGGGCTTCATGCATTACATATACTCCCCAGACACCACATTTGATTTATTTTAATAGTGTATATAAATTAAAATTAAACACAAAATGAGAACTATCAAAATTATGAAATATTATGAAGATATAATAATAGAGTATCTGTAGCTTTAAGGTCTAATTCTGTAAAAATTTTAAAATCAACATTTTTAATTTCTTCATTAAATTTAAGAAACAGTAGGACAAAGGTAGAGGATGAAAGATGTTTCAGCTCATATTTGAAGCCAATATTGATAGACCCAAAACTATCAAATTATTAAAAAGTCATATTATAGAAGAATACTCATCAATAATGAGACTCAGGTACTGGAGAGATGACTTGGTGGTTAAGAACACTAACTGCTCTTGCAAAGGACCAAGGTTCAGTTCCCAACATCTGCATAGTGGCTAACTGCCATCTATAATTGCAGTTCCAACACTTGCACCCTATTCTTGCCTATGTGGGCTTTGTATGGGATGGATGCACTTACATACATGCAGGTAAAACAGTCATAGACAAAGTAAAAAAAAAGGTTCAAAAATAATTTAAAATAATCAGATTCAGATTTTTTTTAATTTTAGCAAACTCTACAGAACAACATAAAAATGGAAAATGCAGGATTATTGAATGAGGTTTATAATCTACAATGAAAGTTTAGTTTAACATAAAATCAACCAACACAATCATCGGAGATGAAAAATAAATAAAAATAATACGATCATTGCATTTTATGATCAAATTGCTTTAATCAAATAATATTGATTAAAAATTAGTCCATTTTTATAAGCAATATAGAATGAGAAAATATCTTCCTAAAATACGAAAACAACGCATATAGATAGATAGATAGATAGATAGATAGATAGATAGATAGATACTGTTTGCATCAAAATAGCAGCTAGAATACTGATAGTCTTTTTCCTGCAATTGAAACATTCTATCCTGACTCCATTCCATGCATTAAGGCAGTGCAACCATCCTTAATGATAAAGTGTAAATAAAGTGTCACTTTATCTACATTTACAAAAGATCTGTTTGTGTAAAAAGGCAGCCAATGGTAGCTACAAAATTAATGAGCTGTTAAGTGAATGAATTAAAATTATAGATTTTAATGTCTAATCACATCCATTATATTGCCATATGCCAAAAATTATAAGAAAGACATTAAATAAAGCACTATAATTTCCAATGACATTATATCAAATTATGGAGAGATAGAAACATAAACATCTACAGAGCATTCCACACAACCGTAGAATATCCATTCTTTTCACCAGGACATGAAATATTCTCCAGAATAGAAAAAAAATCCACATAAAAGAAGTATTGTTCATATTTTAAGTAAAATAACTTTATTTTAAATAACTGAGAAATAAAAACAGCACATTGCTTATTTAAGTAAGTCAGTCAAACACCAAGTCCCAAGCTTTATAGGAAAGAATGATTTTTCCAATATCGTCCTAATACGGACTAAATTCTTTTACATAACCTTGTAACTAAAATGTTACTGTTTGTAATGTAAGCAAACTCACTGAGCCATATACCCCTTTTGTAACCTGGGGATATGACTTTAATCCCTCAGGACTGCCCTCAAAATAGTGTCTATTTATACGTATGTATGCTTCACATATCAAAGTACTAGAGGCAGTGTGCTCTTCTCACTGAAAACAATGAAGGAAATTTTTTTAATGTGCATTTTCTTTTTATTTTTTTTATTTATTTTAATTAAAAGAATTAATAAAGGAAATTTTAGGTCTAGGGGTCTAAGAGCAGGACTCTCTGATAAGAGTGTGTTCTGATTTTACTTCCACATTTCATTCTACAAATACTGTTTCAATAAGAGAATGAGGAAAGCCCTTTCTGAGGGGCACAGGTATGAGACAGCAGAAGGAGCAGACAGTGCTCCTGGCTATAAAATGAATGCTAAGAGGCCGGCTGTTTCTTTATTAAGGTACAACTGTAATGGGACTTAAAATCGCTGCATCTATATGTTTCGGTAAACGTCTATGAAATTAGAATGATCATTCTGCAGCCATAGAGGTTAATTTAGGATTGTACACTTTCACTGTCAGTTATGTTTATCTTCCCTTATGCTCCACAAACAGAAGGAAAAATGCATGGATTTTGTTTTTCTTGAGTTTCTATCACCTTGTTAAATATTATACTTTCCACACCCATGCAAATTTCCGCTAAATTTCCCGATGTGATTTTTCTTTAAAGTTGAAAAATGTTTAAACAACTTGTAATCTTAGTAACTTTTCAGATTATAATGAAAAAAACCCAGAATCAATATTAATTTTAAAACATTAAAAAAGTACTAAAACAAGGAAATTAAATTTATTATTTGTCTTAGTTATCTATATTATAGAATTTATTTTATTTTCTAACTTACTTTTAATCAGTATAGAAAGTAATGGGCTTCTTTATAGGATTTTGATCCATACTTAGATTTCTCTAATACTACTAACCCCAATACACACACACACACACACACACACACACACACACACACACACATTTCCCTTCCCTCCTGCCCCCCCCGCCTTGTCCTTTCTTTTTTTTTTTTTTTTTTTTTTTTTTTGATTTAAAAGCATTTAATGACATAGCATGTATTTAACAGATAGGGTAAAATTTGAGAGGTACAGGTCATACGATAGACCAGGCCTGAGGGACACTCCCCATTCAGACCCAGCCTCTGGAGTTCATGCCTATCAATGCCATTTTGATTGTGCAGTAAGATGAAAATTTGTCGTTACTATAGTTAGTGACAGAAAAATGCATACTATGTATCAAATAGCAAGGTAATGAAGCAAATTATAACAGTGTGGCAGTGCACGAGCAAGTAACCATTAGAGTAACATTACTTTGTCCAGTAAATGCTTCAGTTCCACTTGTACACTTAGGAATGATTTAAAGGGTTTTTTATACATCTAGTTTTATTATACTTTGTACTAGAATTATCTCAAACATACATTATTATGTATTTCCAAAAACCAGATTTAAATCATGGATTTGTTAAAACAGTATCAGTTTTCTATTCCTTCTTGATCTCTCCTATCATTCAATAGTCCTCCTTCAATTTTCATATCATATGTACTGTTACCACATCCCCTTCCTTCAGATGTTTTTTTATCCCTCCTGTTTGCTCTTTTCTAGGTTTCTTTCCTCTACCCACACTCACTCACACATAAATACGCATGCAAAAATATTAAAAGTTAAGGACCACGTAAGAGAAAAATCTGTGATATTCATCTTTCTGTTACTAACTTACCTCACCTCACTTAGTGCATTTTCCAATTCTATTAATTTTCCTGAAGACTTTCTTTACAGTTTAATAAAATTCCATTGTATAAAAGTATCACATTTTTATTTCCTAATGGACATCTAGTTGTATTCATTTCCTTGCTATTGTGAATAAATCAGCAAAGAACATGAATATGCAAGTGTATTTGTGTTGAACAGTCAATGAGATAAGAGGGAAATCAAGAAGGAAATTTTAATTTCTTGAAACAAATGAAAATGGGAATACAACCAGTACCTCTGCAATAGAATAGATATTCATAATAATTAATAACTATCAAATATAAGTATTTCAAGAAAATATATGCTGAACTGGAAAAACAAGAAACGGAACTTGACAGAATTATGCTAAGTGATATGAACTAGCACAGAAAGACAACTACCACAAAATCTCAATGATATGTCAAATAGTAAAAGGTTGATGTCATAGATCATAAGAGAAGAATAATGGTTACTGGATGTTGGGGAGAGTAATGTGCCTTGGGTAATTTTCCTACTGTTGTGATAAAATACCTTGACATAGCAACTGAAGGGTTTAGTTTGGCTCACAGTCCAGGGTATAGTCCATCATGGAGGGAAAGTCGCTTCCCGAGTCAGCTGGTCACATTGCATTTACAGTCAGGATGCAGGGAGTCATAAATGGCTGCTGTTCACTTTCTCTTCTTATTCAGTTCAAAGTCCTAGACCACTGAATGGTGCTTCCATAGGAAAGGTGGTTCTTCTGATATCAATTAACCTAATCTAGATAATCTCTCATGGTCATGGCCAGAGGTTAATACAATATAGATAATCCTTCATACAAATGGATGAAAGTTTGTATCCTAGGTAATTCTAGGTTTGTCAAGTTCAATCAACATTAACCATCACATAAGGGGAGGGATGTGTGGAGCACTTTGTGAATTTAGATTTTAATGATACACTCCTTACTTCAATATATTAAAGGTATGTTTCTACTACAAAGAAGTAAGTGTTG